TATCGTGGGCCATGACCTTGGGTTGAGTAGTGACAAAACTCCTCCTTTTCATTGATTTTTTTTACTTCTCACTAAAAGTATTGGTCATCTGGCCGTCACTGTTCATATGATTCAGTACAGTCACTTACAGAATGAATGTAATAATAAGGCCCAATCTTTGTACAGACACAGGACATTTTAAACTACCTCAACGTGTGTGACAGTCGGCAGTAGGAATAAGTGACGTCATGATGATACTAACGCTCGATAAAAGTATTATCGCAACTACATCGTTCATAAGTAGACTTTAACAACAATATTTCGTTTTATCTACATTTGTAAATGAGTGAAAAAAGAAAAACATTTTCGATGTAATATTTTGCTGATAGCTGTAGTTAATAAAGTTTCAATCCTGATTTTAAACTTATGTCGTCAACTTCCATCTTGTCTAAATTTTCCTTAAAGGAAATACATATTTTCCGAGCTATAGCTGGAATAATTGAACTATTGTCAGGGAAAAATGAAAGCAAATGAAGGGCTCCAATCAGGTCGCGTCCCAGGCGTTAGCACAAAACGGCACTCACCGACAACGGGGAATATTTTATTACATATTCCGGGTTTTCTGTTTCTGGAGCGTGAGCAATTTCAAGCTCACCAGGTTTTGTTCTCCTATATTAATTCTCATTTGCTTTCGCTGTTCCGTAATTGTCCAATAGTTAGGCAAAAGTTTGGCGTAACTTATACCGTAGGCGGTTGACAAAAGGACCCGAATTCTACCTAAAGGAAGCGATTTATCAAAGGAAAGAACTGATAATTTTAGCTTGTAACAAACCAAACCACAATAGCTGTTTTATTATCCCAATTTCGTTTAAACTACCCCGAGATTTTACATTTTACGACTGTTCTCAAGCATTATTAATATATGTCATCAATCAAATAAGAAATTTTAGAATGCGCTTAAGAAATTTAACGTTAAAATCCTTAATCTTGTAAATTAATTTTGCTAGAAGTAATTAGAAAAAAACTAAGCGGGCATCATACAAAGTATAGTCTTAGAAAATAAACAACTTTCTATTTTGGTTAGTTATTTAGTTTAATAGAGAGAAAACCTACAAATTGTATATGTATTTATTAACAGAAAAAGAAAAAGACCGATGAATTGTAATATCAATATACATAAGAAGGGTCAGAAAAATGAGCGAAAATATTATTATTAATCTTTTGGGTCACTATAGCCGGATATGACTTCTTGAGTATCAGTTACAATAAACGATATGTCATTTTAAATGGTGTCATTATATCTAATAGAGAATTTAATATGAAAACCAAACTTAACACTGCAATTACTTCATATTAACCGGTTGGTTAATATAGGCGGAGTCATCATAAACGAATTCCACTGTACATTTCGTTATTTTAAGTTAATGGAAAATTAACATTTAACATTAAAAGCAGTTAATTTACAATTTTCTGATTTCTGTTTCAAAAATGCGTACTACGACGTGGGCATAATTAATAATAAAGAATATCACTTTTCGGTTCACCATCAGTCACTCCTTCAGTGTTCATATTTCCTTCAATTTAGAACATCCCTCCCCCTTAAACCAGTCCTTCAAAGATCTCTCTGGCTGTCTGTCTACAATAATATATACTAAGTCTTTCGCTATCCCTTATCTTTACTCTTGTTTTTCTGATTCTAATATGTTTTTAAATATCCCTTTATGAGTCAAAAGTCGGTCCTCCCTTTTTTCTTATATACTTTAATAACTTCTCACACTCCCGATTACTAACCTTTTCTACCAACAGTATTGTTGTTATACCTGACTGAATTTTATCCTGTTATCTTTCAAATAAGTCGTCAGTCACAATTTCCAAAGTTTTATCTACATGTATACATAATCGCTGTATTTGTTATATTTTATTTTATGTCATCGCTGATTAAAAAGTACGGTAGGTAGGTACTGCTTTAAAAATGAGTTATCAACGGTTTTGTTTGTTGTAACCACATACTAATTATAATCATTACTATATTGCGTTAATGCTCATTATTGTAGCACAGGAAATGAAATGAGAATATTACAGACGTCTAAAAAGACAAAAAAAGCCGTGTACTTGTATGAACTGAATTACGAAAAAGCATTGGGATTTGATTACTCTCGCCATATGATGTATCACAGCGTACGTAGAGTGTTTTGCACTGTTTTTTTTTGTGTTTTATTAAAGCTAACACATGTTGCTAGGATGCTGCATGATGTGGATGAAACTTGTATCTGTCTTATGGAATACAACATTAATTGATATATAATGTCAATCATGGATATTATACTGGTGTAATGACTACAAAAACACATAGTACACCGTCCTTACTGATAATTATGCATAATCCTTCAATCACAAACAACTATCCCCGAATCCCAATTCTACAATCAAAATCGACAGTTTCAACCATCACACTCGGGAATTGAATTTTGAGCATGCTTTATGAGTATTTAAAACGGTTCTTAATTTTGATTCCGTGCATATTACAGTTCCTTTTTTTATAAGAAATAAGCGGTTAACATTCTGTTAAAATCGAAATTGATTATCATGATAACAACAAGGACAAAATGATATCGTTGCTATTAATTTTTGCAATCAACTTTTAATTGTACTATATGAGATTTATTGGAACGAATTTTTTATCGCATGTTACGGCGACAGGGAGTTAAAGACTCCCTTTTGCTGGTCTGGCTGGCCAAGAATCGAATGTGTTAGTGGACATCTCTCTCCCTCTTACTTACTGCTTGCAGAGATGGAGAGAAAGAGCAAACAAAGTATTAGATTCGATTAGTCTGCTTTCTTGTAAATATATCTAATAAAAGTGACTTTAAAAAGCTTTGGAAGCTAACCTGTTAAAATTCCCATTTCGAAAAATTCCTTCCTACCGGAAGTCCCACGATACCACACACCTTGCTGTATTAAAACAATGTTCCTCTAAAACACTGAATTTCTATGATATTTATTGCTACTGTGACATTTTTACGTTGATTTAGGGAATTCTTCGGGACATGAACATTTTTTATGAGCTTTTCTTAAGATTTCGAGAAAGCTTTGCGAAGGCGTAGTATTATCTAATGTACGCATGAACATACAAACATATGCATATATATGCCGTATTACATAAAAATACATTCGTTGAAAATGGATTTTCCGGCGTTAGAAAATTGACATTATCGGAAAAAGATCGTGCATATTTTATGACACGTAAGTAGCGTTAACTTGTTACGAAATCATAAGAAAAATCCCGTATTACATCTCGAACGTCATGATTGACATTATCCCGTGGGAGTAGAAGAGCTTTTCAAGCAATGAGAAAGGTATTGGATTTACCTATTATCGAAAGATTTGAGAGACTCATATAATGAAACTTTTATCTTTCCGGGAAACGAACTACTGCACGCTATAACTCCGGTAAGTACTTAAGTTTAAAAATTTATTTTCCGTTCAGACAATCGGTCAAAGTTTGCTTTATTTCGTGTTCTCCAAATCGCAACCAGCAGGTATCTTGCCATAATACTTACGATTAGATATAATACAGAGTCGACTCGTGGGTGTGTTATACGAACAAAACATTAACAAATTTAGCATCTTCGCTACAAGACGAATGCACATTTTTTTAAGATCAACGATGAAGGTACGATAGGTACACCTCGAAGTCTCCCTGAATTTGTATCAGTATCAATGGTAACTACTGATATAATCATTAATATGTATATGTAACCAGCTATACACCCGGATAGAAATATTTAGGAAAAAT